GAACGCATACACAAATCACTGCAAAACAAGTTCACATTGGCCTACCAAGAGTTTCTCAGATACCAGCTTGAGCGGTTCAATGATTTCAATCTTCTTTTTCAATGTGAAAGGCTGTCCTCCATTGTCTTAAGCCACAAGTAGAAATGCTCCTTAGATCAATCGCAAGTGATTTTATGAAAAGGGATTATGTTAAAGCTACAAACCCGAAGAAAATTTCCCCATCATGTGAAGAATTTAACGTAGCCCTGGAAGATGTTTATCTTGGCATGGCGGCAGCAGCAACTCTACGAGAAATAACAGCCGGGGATAAAGAAGAAGACGTATCTGCATTCCGTAGTCACTGTAGGAATTTCCTCGTAGAATCGATTCTTCAGATCCAGAAACGATTTGACCTTGATGCAGAGATTCACGATATCGTACAGTGTACCTTGCCCCAAAACGCTGCTCCTACGATCCCACCTTCTCTCGAGGGCATTTGTCAGAAGTTGACCTATTTGAGGGAGCTTCATAACAACGAGAAAATTGATCGTGAATGGCGTGAACACGCAATGCATGATAAAGTTAATGGTGACCTCAACTGGGAAGAGTACTGGATCACCGTCCGAGATGTGAAGAATCCGACCGGACAACCAAAATTCCCAAACCTCACCAAATTTGTTCAGATCCTAGCGACGTTTCCTTCCTCAAATGCTGCCGTGGAACAGATCTTCAGCTCACTTATACTCGTGTTTTATTAGATATAAAACGCTCGGCTGCGCCTCGCGTTTTATATCTGATAAAACACTCCTACGCGTGCTTTAAATAGTACATAGAGGTTGGCTGTAAACTTATAATTTATAAGTTTACAGCAAAATGGCATTAAGCGGAATAACAGTTGTATGCATATTGATGCTGAATGTATTTCTAACCCGGAGTGAATGGATTGACATGAGTCATGCATATCGTGAAAACATGAACGGTGCAACAGATCCATTTGAAATTTCACTTCTCCATTATGGAGCCACAGGCAGAGCACCGTTTGCGATAACCTATAAAATGAGGCTAAACGAGCATTCCGGGACACATATCGACGCACCAGTACACTTTTCAAAAGGAAAACCAACCGTTGATGAACTATCGCCTGAAAATCTGATTGGTCATGCAATTGTGGTCAACATAACAGAACAAGCATTAAAAAATCCCGACTATGAAGTATCTGTTGATGATTTCACTAACTGGGAGAAGGAACATGGTGCGATTCCTAAAGGAACTATCGTATTTCTACTCACTGGTTATGGAAAATACTGGGGAAACGTGATAAAGTACATGGGACTAGTTGGAAATATATCCGGTGACTTTCATTTTCCAGGTAATGTTCTTTAATAAATTAAGTAATTGAATTCAGACATTTTCTCAGTTGGTTTTTAGTTCGTCCAGATTATATTTTAAAAAACGCCTGTTGTCGGACGTTTTTGTTTCCTTATGGAAGCCATTTTCAAAGTCTGTCCGTCAACAAGCTGGTAACAAGCATGCAGCGCAAACACATCCTGATGACAAGTTGTTAAGTTGTAACACTAGCATTGGTATAAGTTTGCTGCAAATTGAACCTTAATTCAATTCTGTGAAAGTCACAAGCGCAGATGCCCTGGGTACGAGTGTGCGTTTTACGTGTGTATAGCATGTATTCTTGATGGATCGTTAATTTTTAATATGTTTACTTACCACAATTCCACAAATGATTCATGTCATTGACATTGCTGAACGTCATTGATATGATCCAGCAATAGCCATTAATCTTCAATCTAATATATTAAGAACTCGTAAAAACAAAAACACATGTACATTGCATTCAGTTCTGACACTATTAAAGGCACAGTGCAGCCTTTTGAATGATGGTTTTAAGGCGCCTTTCAGCCCTTTTAATTGAAAAACTAACTAGGAAAATCAATTTAGCATGATTCAAAATCAGCAAACTCAATGTTTTTAACAATAAAAATGTTTTAAAATGTTAACAACATCAAGTTTGCTGATCTTGAATTATGCTTAATTGATTTTCCTAGTTAGTTTTTTCAATTAAAAGGGCTGAAATGCGCCTTAAAAACCATCGTTCAAAAGGCTGAACTGTGCCTTTAAGCAGCTTATATAATACGTGAATACTGGTCAATACCTTGTCGGACAAAGATTTCATTAATGACCTTTTGCCTTGCACGGTAGCCGGTAGCAACCTTAAGGCTAAGCCCCATTTACATTTGCAATTTTTGCTGCGTTTCTTGTTCTGATTGAATTAGCGAACGACTTTCAAATAAATGACGTATTCTTAATGAAATAATGACGTAATTTTCTAAACCTTGGTATCCAATTTGGATACATAATGTCTCATATATAGGCCAGACTTTTTTTATTCATTGGTTTACGGATCCGTGAAAATTCAGAAACAATGAAAAAAAAATTAGGTACGTAGGTCACAACACTTAGACTCTAAGTAGTAAGTACATGTACTGCTGACTCGTGTTATCGTTGGGTACAATGAAATTAATATAATATAACTGGAACGCTACCTCCAATTGAAGGCCAGTCCCAGTCTTTTCGCGCATGCAAAGAGCGCTCAATATTCAGTCATCAGAAACGAACAACCAGACAACAGCAGTCCGGGTAGCAAGTTTAAAAATATATATTATTAAATTTGGTTGTCATCACAACTCAGTGTGTTTCTTTTAAAAAAGTTTCCGCCCTACCGACCTGTTTTTTTAAAGTCAAATCCATTGAAACCAATTAATACAAAAATCTGGCTTAATCCTCTGCTTTAACAATGTATTAGTCCGTATGCAGTATATCAATTTTCATTGTAAATAATGGTAGTTGTTGTTTTCAGGTATTGGCAAAGACGCTGCCCAGTGGATTGTTGATAGTGGTAAAATCAAAGGTGTTGGTTTGGATGTTCGTTCTCTTGACCGAGGCCAAAGTAAAGACTTCTTCGCACATCGAATATTATTGGGTAACGAACTGTTTGGTCTGGAAAATGTCAAAAATATCGAAAAACTTCCAACCAGAGGTGCGATCGTCTATGTGTCACCAATGAAAATTAAAAATGGTAGTGGTGGGCCAACTCGTATTTTTGCTCAAACAGATCCTGTGGCTAGAAGTTCTCATCAAACAGCCAGTATTGTGCTTCTGCTTTCGATTGTCTTTGCAATATTGTTAAAGTAAACGGATGTACATGTTCTGACAGTTTTATTATTATAAATTATCTTTAATTTTGATTCATTAACTTTTATTATATAGTTTGTATGTTGAGGACATCTATTTGTGCACACTCTGCATGCACCGTGGAACATTGCAGAACGTATAAAGTTAGTTATAATCAAGCGTTTTTAGGTGAGATGGGCAATAGGCAATAGCTACAATTCTTTAGTTAAGATGCACGTTTTGTGAGATAAGTCAATATCACTTTTAGTTTTCAAAATATGTAATATATAGACTATAGTTTTAAATAAATATAGTTTTGTACTTTCTATATTCCGCTTCATTGTTTTAACTTGCAGTATATTTTCCAGTTAAAAACATACAATTTTAATTAACTTAACAAGCATTTGCAGAAAAGGTATAGTTTTACATTACATTGGTTTACAATATTGAATATTAATAATGGCCACCTCGACATCAATTGCCTGGATGTATGTTTACACCACAAACCATATCAGTAGCTGTATTCAACAAGTACGCTTGCAATGCAGTGTAAAAATACCTTTGGATGTCAGGAGGTGTTACTTTACGTTCATAGTGTAGATTTATACACCAAGTTAGTGTCCACTCAGGTGCAATTAGGTGCTTTACACCAAAGGCAAAGCAGTGTAAAAAGACCTTCGGAGGTGTTTGTTTACGCTCAGTATTGTAGATTTCCCCCCGAAGTTGATGTCCACACAGAGGCATGCAAGGTGCTTTATACCAAAGCAGTGCTGTACTGTACTGCACTGTACTTTGAAAGACCTTCGGAGGTGTTAGCTTACGCTCATATAGTGTAGATTCACACTAAGTTGGTGTTCACTTTATACTCCACACATGCAGCTGCACGAATTTACACCGATTCTTGTGTTGTGGTAACACTTCCAGATTTATAGTTATGAATCAATAACATATTGTAATGGCATTTTCCTAAGAGCGCTGCAGTAAGTGACATCTGACAAAGCCATATTCAAACTCGTCAGAGCTTAAGAATTATATGAATATTGTTTGGGACAGAGGCTGTATATACTAGTAAATTAAAAAAAACTGAGGTGATAACAATGTACCACATGAATGTGTTCTGGACATTGTTGTACGTGTGAAACGTGCTGGGTTTTAGTATTCATGAACTTTATTCCATTGACTGGCTGTGTTTGCAGATGATTCCGATACATCCACTAAATTAAGACAGTAACGAGTATAGAGACTAAATTAGAAGTGAGTGTGAATTAGAAGGCATTTTTTATAGCCCGGTGCCCGCAGATAGGAGTGAAAAAACTCACACGAAAGTTAGAAAATGACGAGCCAGTCATGCAGCTCCAGGTTCGCAGCTCCAGGTTCGATTTCAACCTGGAGCTGGAACGACTAGTTTGTAAATAAACTGCTTTGAATAAAATCCAATTTTCTGTATGTTTGCGGCGTTCAAATTTCTTGTGGGCTCCTGCCAACACATTTTTTCTTCGATTTTCCTAGTATTAAACTCCTATATTGTTCAAAACGTGAAATTTCAGGTTCATTTGTAGAAAACCTAACATGCATGATTAGAAAGTTTACAAAAAACAACACTGATAAGACATTTAAACGGTTACCTTGATTTTTCAAGCGGTGTTCGAGTTATTGCTGTTCCAAAATGCGAATAATAGGCGGGAAATTTCGCAAAAAACCCTGGGCACTAGGCTGAAAACACGTTTACAAAAGCTCATAATTCAAGAAGTTCAATCAAAGGCCGCTGAGGCCGACTCACGAATAAGATCAAATGAAAGTGACAGAAAGCGAAATTAGAGCAGTTTTCAGTTATTTTTGCAAACTGGGCACCGTGCGAATTTTGCATTACACCCATTTGTCGTGCTTCACTTGCCAAATCAAAAGCCCGAACGCGTGCTCCAGCCCGATTTCCGATCTGTTTGAATGGCCCGATTCGCAGGCAAACAATGCGCGCAAAGCATGCTGGCCATTTCCCATTGTCAGTATAAACTGCGACACTCAAGTAAAATGAGTCAAAAATGAAGGTAACCGTTCAAATGTCTTTTATGTAGCTTTTTGTAAGCTTTCTGATGCTACAAGTAAAGTTATTTTTCCTGATATGGGGGGTTCTCATTTATTTTCCTCAAACTGCTTGACTATTGCAAGCCAGGGTGTTCTCGCGATCCATTTCTTCGTATTGATAATAAATACAATAAAAAATCATGATTTCGGTTTTTGCATCATGTGATTATTTAGATAAGTGTCACATGCTCAATCAAAATTTCCTGTTATCAAGATTGATGGCAGTTGACACTGGGCGATCCCTTTTGTTTTGTCTTTGATGAACTTGTAGTAACATATCACAGTATCGAAGTACCTGATTGTACACAGTATCTTAAGAGTAAACTGCTTTGTGAATCGTACAGAGCGGCTTCAACTGAGCTGAACTGGAGAATCAGAAAAAATCTTGCACAGTTTTCCACGATTTTTCGTCGCCAAATTCCGGGAGTTCTCGGTAGGTATACAGGTTGACTGTTTGTAAATGAACATAATTATTATCTAATTTGATTGAGTTTCTCAGCTTTTCGTGCATGCATGGTTTATAGCGCACTTTATATTGCGTAGTTACGGTAACTAATATCATTGTTCGATTTGTTGTAAAATGGGACTTTAAATTGTTGCCTTCTCATCATTTCACAGTAATTTTACAGAGTTCATAGTTACGCGGAAGTACGTTAAAATAATCACTATGCCTTTGTGTGGCTTTTGCAATATTAATATAGATAAAGCATGAGCGACCATGTTATATCGAGTCGAAGACGAGAGGTTGTATGCATGGCTAGAAATTTCATACACTCAGCGGCATGGGATTGCAGGCTCATTTGCAGGAATTTTCAAGATGGCGGTTCGCTTTTATAATGAACTAAATAATTTAAATACTGCCGGTTTTTAGACAAAATCAACCAAGAAGGCCGGAAAATATTATGAAGTGCACGTGGAAAGAGTGATTGCTTCAGAAAAAGAAAAGTCAACTGTAATATATATTAATTTCGCTTGCATTTTCCAATATTCAAAATCGCGATATATGTATATATTTAAAACTATGTCAATCGCTTTGATATTTTAAGCAAATATTTAATAACATACAAGTTAGATTCTCAATGAAATAACAAGGGGATTGTTCAATATGTCCACCACTAACTAATTTGTAGTGATTTCCAACAACACATTTCGCAACAACACAGTATGAACAATCTAATTTGAATTTTTCCCGCGACTCTGAGCGAATATTTTTGTAGCTACAGTTTCTTAGGTCAGCAGTAAAGGCCATGGTAACATAGCAACAGCTTTCGAGAGCTTTCGAACAACAACAATGGCGGAAAGGTCATGAAACGAATACGAAAATGGCAACTATATTTTGAAATTTCGCCTATCATGGCCTCTAAACTAGCAGTCTTATGATCTCAAAAACAACGTATTTCAAGACATTATGGAACCCACTAAACGGGATTAAAATGCTTTAAAATCTAGCGTGAATAAAAGTATCGTTATTCGGGAGTATATTCTGATGTTCGCATGGTTGAAAAGTCTTGCAAGTATGGCCATAATTTCAGCTCCAGAATACAAAATATGGTCAATTAGTATACTTTATACAGTGAATAACAGGTATGTTGACGAGGAGCTCGGGAACCCATTCAGCCTGATCGTATTGTTCCGAAAATTTAACAAATAATATATTGTGTAATTTGGTAATGTTTCAGATGTTCGCATGTTGGAATTTGCAATCGTAAATTACTAACATTCTTAATTTTGTGTATTTTCCGCTTAAATCTTATACTAAAGACGCCATTTTGGATTAATTTCTAAGTACCCAATGCGCATGCTTTAACTCCACAGTGTATGAAATTTCTAGCCATGATACAACACGGACGCGAATGCGGTGTATACGGCTTGCAAAACGTCTTTATAAGAACATTCGTATTCTTCAACAATTTAAAACTAATAATGGATTAATGATGTTTGTGATGTTACTCTGAGTGTATACCCACACCGGCCAGCTTGAAAAATATGCCTGGCCACGGCACGGTAGGAATCGAAGCTTGCCCGGTGTCCCAGGAAATTTCCCCCCCCCCAAAAAAAAACTTTGGCCCCCGGGCCAAATTTCCTAGGAAATTTGCCCCCCATTCGGAAATTTGCCCCCCTCGAAAACATAGTTTACTTTATCGCTACAAGCTCGGAAATCGTGAAGCTTCTTCTAAAACCAAGATCCTAAAAGTGTTTGTCAGTATGTATAGTTAGTTTGCTTAATTTATTTGTGTCTTCATTGCGGCCAAGAGCTAAAAGTTTGAAGGAAAGCGTATAATAATAATAATGTGCTAGTGCAATCATGCCAGACACATCACACTTGCATGGGTATCTGTAGAGGACAACGTTAATGCATAATGGCTTAGCTTTAAGCTAAATGATTTTTAAGATAGGAATTTGTAACTAAGATATTACAAGTTATTTAGATCTATAAATTCAGTCACATCGTTTGCTAAAGTGCGGTTAAAGTTATACTATGAAATCATGCGTTGGCGAATATGTTAATATGCACGCGTCTAATAAATAACAGAGAGCAATTAGCAGTAAAACTAGACTTTTGAGTGGAAACGTTTGTTCGAAAAACAAAATCAAATGAGTGGTTACTTCGTAAAAAAACCTTTTCCTATGCATTTTACTTACATATACACAGTATATATAATCGCTCATATGGTTGGGATGCATTACAGAAGCATTCCGTAAAAACGAAAGTAGAAGACTGCATGCTTCATGGCTCACAAAAACATTCCGCACACACAAAAGCACAAAGGTTTGCAATTGAATGACGTTCCGTTTCCATAGCTTAATGATACAGCCATTATTTATTAACGCTGTCTTCTACAAAGCTGGTCAAAACCAAACGCGAAAAGTACGCTAAACTTTATTTAGCTCTTGGCCTAATTCTCGTCAGTATTGCAATTCAATGGAGAATTTTGACACAAAAAATTACGCAAACTGGCTATAAATGTTGAGAAAAATTTCTAGAAATTTGTTTTAGTAGAAGCCTTACGATTTCCGAGCCTAAAGATAAAACAAACTATAATTTTTAAGGGGGCCAAATTTCCGAAGAGGGGGCCATATTTCCTAGGAAATATGGCCCGGGGGGGGGGGAATTTTCGGGGGGGGGCAAATTTCCTGTGACACCGGTGTGCATATAGTAACACCACAAACATCACATTCACCTGAGGACATAACACGTACCAACACAGAAAAAAATCATGCATGATTACTAGATTGCATTGATATCGAAGGAACTAGACTCAGTTGGCAGAGCATTGGGCTAGCATTCCAAAGGTCGCAGGTTCGATTCCCACCGTGGCCAGGCATATTTTCCAAGCTTGCCCGGGGTGGATATACACTCAGAGTAACACCACAAACATCATATTCACCTGAGTGCATAACACCAACCTGACAGAAAAAAATTCAAAATAAATTAATGATATTTGGTGAGAAAATTGAAACTGCAGCATGATTTTGAATCTGCAATACAAACTCCTTCATGCTCATTCAAAATTCAAATTCATTAACCGTGGACTATACACTTAATAGCCACATGCATGGAAGGGGGGGGGGGGGTTAACTATTTCTATATCAGTGGGAGGAGGGGCCATTCAGCATTATAAAAAGCAAAAGGGCTTGAAAAAGTACTTATATAGAGTTTATTAATCCACTCTCCCAAATAGAGTATCTGGCATTGGCCGGAATAAAATGTTATAAAAGTGCGCACTTTCCCAATACAGAAGTAAATATAAATGTTGATATGTCTAACACAAAGAAGCTTCTATATTTACATGGAGGGGTATGAAATTGTTTCCTATTATTTGAGGAGGTGCCAAGTAATTTCTTGGATGGACGGGTGGGGCTTGAACTATTTTCCAAATTTTATGTAATTGTCTCCCCAACTCAATGTTGAACTTGTGTCATGACATAGCTTCCAATACTTATTTCGGCGTTGGTCAGATCATTGAACTACGGAGAGGGGTAACGAAGTTGGTTTACCAACTGCCAATGTACTCTTCGTTAGCTTTGCAATGATGAGAGGAATCAGTCTCAATTCTTTGTCTCAGATTGGAGACGCATATAAAACCCACCTGATTAAAATATATTGTCTTCTGCCTCGTCCCCAGGCGCTAATAAAAAAATTTTATGCGAGTCACTATATGAAAAGTTTTCATGAAGTAATGCATCGCGACGAACAAGCGCAGGGTTTATGGTATCCCGTCCCCCTTTGTGCGCCTTAAATGTGACACACTACTTCATGTAAACTTTTATATAGTGACTCGTATGTGAAATTGTTTTATAGCGCCTGGAGATTTTTTCGCGCTTTCTTTAAAAATGTTAATTTAATTATTTTTAACCATACAGTTTGAACTTTGTGACAATTTGTGGACACAATTATCCGACGCAGGATGAATTTTCGATTCTACCATGCCCAAGTAATGGCAGTATTTGTCACCTGCCTGCCTTTTCCACTCCTGTTGGCACACTCTTCTAAAGATAATTCAAAGTCACCTCATGATCAAGTTTACTCGAGCCTAGACATGACAGCCTTGAACGTAACAAACGTATCAACAATCTGCAAGCTTCAAATAAACGAGTCAACACTCAACAATGTCCTTCAACTGATGCATAGATCCACTTGCACTACACATGTCCAGGGGCGCACATTAGGGGGGGTGTGGGGGGTGTGACACCCCCCCATGTTTTGTGAAATATATCTAAAAAGTCGGTCCCAAAACCTGAATAGGGACGAAAAAGTCGGTCCGGCTAAAATTTGAAAGATATCATCATTTTGTGTCGAAAAAAGTAATAGGTGGACATTCTGGAAATGGAAGTTGCATAAACATAAGAAAAACGAATTAGACAAAGAAAAACGAATATACACAAATTAGAGTTCACTGACACAAACCAAGAGAGCAAATAATCAACTTCTGTGTTGCAACAGTCCAGCCAACGTAATGCGATCCGATTACCTCAAGCCCCCGCGGTGCAGTTAAAATGCGCATTGTTAGTTTTGTCGCAAAAGCTGAAACTTTGGAAGGCAGAAGTAAATCAGCGGCGCAGCCAAGATGGGGGCTCGGGGGGCTCTGCAATGGGCATAAGGACTGCCCTTGTGGAAAACTGAAATCCGGGCAGAAATTGGGGTGGGGGTACGACGTGTGAATAATGATACCCATCTCCTCTGTTTGCCAATAAAGTTGAAGTCTTGCCTACCTAAAATCCTAACTCCAGTAAAAAATGCTGGTTGCTTTAAAGCACATTTGAACTTGAATTTGCGCTCAAAGCATCATGCTATTTTGCTGTTGTATTTGCGTGTACAATACTATTTACATAAACATTTTTTCGATCTAACAACATTAGGCGACTTAGAAATGCCTTTTTGTGGTTCTAACTTTTTCTTCAAACCTCGTCCTAAAATACGTAAAATAGCGTTCAAATGAATCTAGAAATTCAAAATTTTCCTCGCGCCTACGGCGCTCGCATTCGAAATCCATAAAAATTTTGCCCCCGCCCCCTCCAAAGGTTTAGACCACTGCAAAAGTTCTGAAAAACTGAACATTTATTTAAACTCTATACATAAATATTTTTTCGATCTAACAACATTAGGCATTAGGCGACATAAAAATGCCTTTTTGTGGTTGTAACTTTTCTTCAAACCTCATCCTAAAATACGTGAAATAGCGTTCTAATGAATCTAGAAATTCAAAATTTTCCTCGCGCCTACGGCGCTCGCATTCGAAATCCATAAAAATTTTGCCCCCGCCCCCTCCAAAGGTTTAGACCACTGCAAAAGTTCTGAAAAACTGAACATTTATTTAAACTCTATACATAAATATTTTTTCGATCTAACAACATTAGGCATTAGGCGACTTAAAAATGCCTTTTTGTGGTTGTAACTTTTCTTCAAACCTCATCCTAAAATACGTGAAATAGCGTTCTAATGAATCTAGAAATTCAAAATTTTCCTCGCGCCTACGGCGCTCGCATTCGAAATCCATAAAAATTTTGCCCCCGCCTCCCATCCGAAAGTTTAGACCACTGCAAAAGTTCTGAAAAACTGAACGTTTATTTAAACTTTTGGAATACTATCCCCGTCTTACCGTCTATGCGCTTTAAATAGTTGGCTTTTCTTACCAAACACAAATACTACAAAAGTCGGTCCCAGCACATAGAACACCCCCCCCCCAAAAAAAATTTTTGCGAATGTGCGCCCCTGGTTCTGTTTTGATTGTTTCAGCGATTCAGGTGTTTTGGTTTGTTTCGTTTTGGTTATTCCGGTCATTTCGTTTCGTCCAGTTTCGGATTTTTAGTACATCCCCATTTCGGTAGTTTGTTGAGTTTGAAAATTGTCGTCACTTTTCAGGTTGGCGCGAAAAGGGAGAAGTTCGTATGTTTTGCAGATGCGGACCTTTCATGCATGAGCCAATCAGAAGACTATTTCATTTAGGTTACGGGCTTGGAGTAACGGGCCGGAAACAAATATAAAGTTCTTCCTTCCTACCTCCTTTGGAAGCCTCACTGAAAGCATTCGAAAATTCTTCTTCTTCGTCGGACAATGCTTCAACACGAGAATCTTTTGCCTCAGTTTCATGACCACTTGCTGGCCGACCCTTTTTGGCTCTTGTAAAAGAAGAATTGAAAACCATCAGTCCAAAACGATCCTTGTTTCGTTCAAGAAGCTCTAGACAGGCATTGTATAAATTCTTGGGCTGTTTCTCGCCATTAGGAAGAAGCGTGAAATCACCATCTTTCTCAAGCTCATGCTCATCATCATTGTCATTTTCTATCAATACCACAGGCGCCAGAACTCCAAGCACTTCATACACGATGTTTGAAATCACCTCCTTCTTTTCTTCCATCTTTTCCTCCCATTTGTTCACATTCTTGTGACCAACAGAGCAGCAAGATGTTAAAATTACTACGAGATTAGGACAAATTGTGTCAACCACTTCGAGCAACTTAATGCCTCTCAGGCATTTAGAAAGATTACTATTAGGGCCTTTGATCCGTTTATCGTTGGCGCTCACCACCAAAAATACAAGATTTGGATAAGTCCACTGCTCAGATAAACTTGGATGTGTTTGGAAAAATCTTTTTATGGATACAAAATTACAAGCATCTTGGTTTACACCTGCAGTATCATTAAAGCCAGGCGTGTCTATTACACCCATTTGTAAATCACATACCTCGAGATTTGGTTCGTCTATGGTAAGAATATATTCAGTTGTTCTTTTTGTTTCCGACTCTGTTGCGCTGGTCATCGCAACAGGGTCTCCTTTTCCCGTATCAAGCAAATGGTTTATTGTTGATAACTTTCCAACGCCAGAACCACCAACCAACAAAATCACAGCAGATTCAAATGGACGTTTAATTTTTGCACTTGAAAGGATGTAGTAATAAAGCTTTGCTCTGGGTGGTGGTTCGGAATGTCGATCAAGCTTTTGAAATGATTTTAATTCTTTTCGAAAATCTTCTGCTGATGCTGGCACAGGCTTTATCGAGGGTTCTGACACAGGACTCACTGGACTTGTAGTGTAGAAACTGCCGAAAACATTCTTCACCGATTCCATTGCCATTTATTAATAAATTTAGACCTATAATAAGAGGATATATAATTAAATGTCAATAATTCACAGTTTCGGAGTACTTTGTAACTAAAGCTTTACGTGCATGAAATTTCGAAAAGACGGTAAGGGCTCCTGTGAAAACTGTGACGGGTGCTGAAGCCTACACTTTACAGGCTGCTTTCCTGTTAAGCGTATTTCACACTTACATATACCCACGGAGTTTAAATTTAAATCTTTCTAAATTCTGTATAAGTACTAATATAATTATCTCAACAATTACACCTCAAATCATACACAAAACTATAAATGCTGTCCTTTTATTAATTTAATTAGTTTATAAGAAACTTTGAAATGGATTTAAACTTTTCCGTTCGTGTACGAACGGAACGAATATTTCGATGATACAATGTTGGCAATTTTGTTTTCTTTCATATTGCTTTTTAGTCTTACTCCGATCGTTTTTTTTGGGGGGGGCGGCTTAGCCTTTCTAGCCTGAATAAGCGAGTATTCAGTAGAAAGAGCAGAAAAGAAGCAAACTACCAGTTGTTAGTAACAAGTTATATCTTAGCATTTAGCAATTAGACCTAAACCTGTGTATAAGTATGTATGTATGTTTGTGAGTGTATATATATTGTTTGTAGCATATAAATGATTTGTAATTACCTGCTGAAAAGCCCTTTTGGGAGCAGGCAATACTGTAGTAATAATAATAATAATAATAATGGAAACTTTATTGAAATTATATACGTATATATACAATTATAAATCTCACTAATTTAGGTAATTTATAATTGACTACTTGAACCTACTTAATATTTATATATTATTAAAAAACTCATTAATAATTCAGGAGGAAAACACAAAGAAAAATCACAAGCGTGTCGTATCTTTATATGTGATAAAAAATCATGTTAATTTACATAAAGTTAGCTTTGATTTTCTCGGTTTAGACAAAGTTTATTTTAAAAATTACTTCGCCAATGAACTCATATATAAGATGAGTCGTTTTTTAAGCCATTTAAAGCACTTGTAGTCGTGTTTTATCAGATATAAAACGCTCGGCTGCGCCTCGCGTTTTATATCTGATAAAACACTCCTACGCGTGCTTTAAATAGTACATAATGAGTATCCTTAAATGTTCAGTAATTCCGGATTTAACCATTCCTTATCTCTGCAACAAAATATATAATATGTTGTCCTAATCGCGATAGACATAATTTTCCTGATAGCGAAATATTGCCGGGTGTCTTTTATCAAGACCTAGATCATTTAACATATCTAAAAACGATTGACATTCTTTTGAGAAAACGCCTAAAGAACTAATTGACAAATTTACAAATTTTACGGACTTAAATTGTTTCTTTTGCTGTGTAAAGATCTTCGTATCTTCTTTTTTTCCGATCAACATTTGTTTGTAGATTAGACTCATAACCAACAGAAAGTTCAAGGATATAGAGACAATCCGAGTTGATAGATAATAATAATAATAATAATAATTATAATAATAATAATGAAAACTCTATTAAATGGATATTTAGCTTATATATACAATTGCAAATCTCACTTATATCAGGTAATTTACAACTGGCTACTTAAATCACTGATTATATATGCAAAAATTATACTATTAAGATAACAAAATGACAGTACAACGTTTAAACACTTAACAGTTCCGGACTCATCCATTCCTTGTTTCGACAACAAAATATATAATACGTCAGCCTAGTCCCAGTCGTTCTGAAGCAAACGCGGATACGCGGATGTGGTATGAGACTGGGACCTAAGTGTGACGTCACAGCTCAAGGTGCTTCAGAACGCCTAGCAGATTTCAGTATTTTCAATATGGCGGATATATATAAGTGCATTCTTGAGGACTTGGAAAAAGTTTCGACAAAAAGTTGGGCAGAATTTAAAAATTTTTGCGCAGAAATTATGGAGACAATTGGTGTTTTTAAATGGAAAGTGCCAGACTATTCCAAATTCACTGTGGATTTTAATTCGCAACAATATTTGCCCTCTTCATCAGATTGTGTCGCGTTAGAAACATCGGCCGATAGTTCGTGCTTCCGCTCCTTTTCCATTCTTGTTTCTGGAAATGAAGATATGCACACCGAATTGAGGGTACGTTGTGTTGTTGAACTGGCTTTATTTATCGAATTTTATATGTCTGATGAAGACATATTTCGTAAAATGTCTGCACAAAAGAAACACTTAAAAGATACTGGCAGCCATTTTGAAGACATTGCGAATGATCGTTCTTTGTTGGAAGCTATTTATCAAAAGGAGATCATTTCAACTTGCAAACCTTCGTCCGACAGTGGTGTCTTGCAATTGTTAGCACTTGGTTCCATCATCAGGAGAAAAATTATGAGTGTTTATCCTGAAACAACACCAAACGTTAGTATAGACTTTTAAAAGCAATTTTTATTGGCAAATACTAAGTAGCATTTTAATTAAACACAAAACCTAA